GTTTAAGGGAGTTAAGTTATTCCTTAAATCCCAGTTTTACTCGTTAAAATGTTAATAATATATAATATTTACATAAAATTTTAGTATTAATTTTGAAAGAGATTCAAGAATCTATATTATGCGACTCTAATAATTATATACAAATAGAATATTAGAAAGTTACATGTAATTATTTAGAAAGGTTATAAGTTTTTTTTAACATCTAAAGAGTATAATAACTTATACTGCACCTTTTTCACAATTGTGAAAATATAATTATATGTAAAAATTATTTAGTAAAAAATGTTATGTTATTATAAAGTATGTTATTATAAGACAATTTTTTTTAATAATGTAAATACTTGATAAAACTCATTTATTCAATCAAATAAATTTTTTTTTGAGATTTTGTTCAATTATTTAAATGAGTAAATCTAAATTTTACAAGTTTGATTAATATATTGTTAAACATAATTAGAATTATGGATTAAAAAATATAATCGAGTTAAGCTAATTGTGATCAAACTCATTATTTGATTAATTAAAAAAATTTAAACTTAAGATTAGGCTCTACTAAATTAAGTCAATCTAAGTTTTATACGATTGAATTTAATTGTTCATAAATAATCCGTTTTACTAATTTTGTTATTTATATATTTATTATGAAAACATATAATTTTTTTTAGAGTATGACATATTCTATTATGTCATTATTATAGTGTAAAATTTAATAATTATAAATTTATTTTTTTGAATAATTCTACTAAATAAAATAAAACTTCTAGGGTAGAAGTATCACATTACAACTAATTAATTAATAAGCAAAATTAAGTTTGAAAACAATTACAAGAAAATAAGGGTTTGATACTGTAACAAACTCAACTCCTAGCCAATTACATTTAAGTCCTAATATAAAATATCCAACAGAAAAATATAAATTTCTAGTTGTTGCCTCGATTTCACATCATGTCAAAGCATTCTTAGCATCAGGTTTAAACCTCATCTCTAAGCACATTTTTATCATAATTAATTTCACTTGCAATCATACACCAAAACAAACTACAAAAGAGAGGGAGAGTAAGAAACATCTCACTCTAACTACCACTGCAAGTTATGGCAAGGTAGCCACACACAAATAACATCATATAGTCATTTACGATTAATATCAAGATACAACAATAACTATATCATACATCTTAACACTTATCACATTCGTAGTTCATAGTCAGCTAAGATATAATAGTTATGCTATGATAATACAATAGACAAGGCTCTCAAAAATTATATACATGTGACATCAATAAAATCAATTATCAAATGTCAATTGTTGCCTAAAGGCTAAGTAGTCTCGAAGGACATGTTGAGTCGCAACCATCACAACACTTTACACTCGGAGGAGATACACTAAGACACATTGGGACAATTGTGTCACACAAGTTTTACCCTTGCATGCTAGTGGGTGGGACTAGGGTTTCCAAATTAATGTTGTCATCGAGGTCATGAATCTCCAAACTTTTATACAAGGAGAACCTTCTCTAGCGGCATATTTCGCATTCTACCCATTCAAAAATCATAAATATATATGATGCATGTCATACAAGACTTCTGCAATTCATGTTCAACATAACTCAACTTATACAAATATATACATAGATTTAACAATTTTACATATATAATTCTCAACATTGCACTAGATACAATTGACTAGGCTTATCTCACCCAAACTGTTACACTACTAGATTAGACTTGGACTTTATCAAATAATTCATCACGTTTTTTGCATGCAACCCATCACATATCGCCAACAAATCACTTTAAGCGATAAATGTGTTAATTCCAAAAGAAATCCAATACATTTTTAATTAAACAACATAGTGCATTTAACATTATCAGAACCCCATATTCATAAGTTAAACAATTTCGTAGGAACAAGGTGACATCTCGTGTGTGGTATCTTGTGCTTGACGAGCATACTTAACTCTTTAGAAGGATCACACTTGATGCTACCCTCCCACGCCCATTGAATTTACAACAAGGAGCCCCCTAAAGCTCCTACACCCAACGTGATCTCTCTCACGCTCGACTAACATCATAGAGAGAAGTTTATGACTCTTTTGCCTGACGTGAACCTTCTCACGCATGGCATGAATGTCATAGAGAACATCACATGCTCTCTATCACACTCGTGCCCAACAACCACTCATGATCCTTAGTGTGGCATCAATTTATACACTTTTGCAAAATTTACGATTTGTATACAATTCAATCAACATGTTTTCAAGAATTCAATCGGTAATAGGGTACTACAACATAAATATCTCATTCTAACCTATAAATTTTTCAACTCACATATAATATTTCTGATAATTTGTTTTGTTCCATTATTAAGGTTCTCCTAGAAACTCATACACTTATATATTCACAAATAGAGATCACTATACAATTTTAAAACATGACTACTACCAATTATCACAACTAGAATACATAAGGATTAACGTATAACAAAGAATCATGAATTTTAATCAAGATTGAGATTTTTGTCCCATGCACCATACACAAACAAGACAAGATCGGGGGTTAATCTCACCATCCCATAGAGTAAGGATTCTCACTCTCCCCTTATCTCAACAAATGCCAAATACTAGATACAGATCTCTGAGATCATCTCTATCTACCTTCTCCCTCTTCTTCAGATCATAAAAGTGCGTGTTAATATTTATGAGAAAAAATCCTAGTCTTACTAGTTTATATATAGGAAACTCTACCATGTATAACCCTTTGATAAAACAACTTAACCACAATTTATTACTCCTCTCTTATAATTAAATAATAATTCACAAATAATTATTTTCAAAATATTTTCCATTTTATTTAATAACACTCATCACCATAATGTAATCTAATTAATTGAAAATTCTTTATTAATTTATTCTAAAAATTTGGAATGTTAGATAAAGATTATTAAAATTCATAATCAACAAATTACGAGTCTTTTATTAGTAGCTTAGTTTATGAAAATGTAACAATCTAATTAAAGATTTTAAATTTCACATATATAATACAACACATTATAAATTATCATCTTAATATTAAAACTGTTTATTAAATAGTAAATCGATAAATTTTAAAAAATTACAAAAAAATCGTAAAAGCAAACATAAATAAATCAAAATAGTCAAGCTCAAATTACTTTTCTAACAACCCTAACTTCAAACCATTTAAATAAATTTGGAAAATTTAAAGAACTCATTTTTTTTATAAACTAACCCTAAACTGTAAATACTTGACTCAACTCAACACATTTACACACTAAACTTTGATGCGTTAATATCATTAAAAAAATTATTATATAGTGATATATACTCTATAATGATACAATATGCGTCATTAAAAATTACTTTTTTTCACACAATGTAAATAATATATATGTTGGTATATTGTTAATGTAACGTAGTTTAAAAAAAATAAAATGGTGGTTGATTTAGTAGCCCGGAACGTGCCGTTCCCAATCTAGAACGGGTCGTTCCAAGCTATTAAATTAAACTGAAATTCGTGGTTGGGAACGGGCCGTTCCGGAGGGAGAACGGGCCGTTCTGGTTGGAGAACGGGCCGTTCCGGAAGGAGAATGGGCCGTTCCGGAGGGAGAACGGTGGTCACACCTTTCTAGTTGACTATAAGTCTATAACACTCTAGTTGCTAGAAACACCGTCTACAGCACTCTTGGCTTTACATGGGAGAAAAGGCGGAAGAATGACATGCAACACTCCTGCCGCAGACACTATCCAGGGCACACTTGACCATGCATATAGAGAGGAGAAGAAATTGCTTGAACACCAGATTTGATAGCCACAGCTAGAAGATAGTCATAGAACACACCAAAGAGCAACACACCAAAGCCCCAATCTCCCTGAAACACCAAAAAACCCTATCATGCTATAGCATTAACAGAAAACAATACTTCAATCACAAATCTTGATCCTACTAACAACCTAGAAACTTTAACAAGCCTCACCAAATTTTCAGCCTGGTAGTAACTTTAAGCTCTCACAATTTTTTTTATCACCTACAACAGTAACCTCCTAACAGAATGCACTGCCATAATCCAGTTGTTCTAGCCACACATGAAACATCTGAGACCAGAGAATCCCCAAACAACACCATACCCTCCAAAGCCTACAAACATAAAATCAAGGTTTTTATCATCTTCACAAGCAATAGCCACCACACAATCACCAAAAGGGTCCATATATATCACATCAAGTACCAAATCACCATCCTCATCCCACCATACACTTCCACCACAGGGGCACTGTATCACAGCAAATACTCATCTTCATTCACATGGTAACACCATGGCACATCAACACTATCAAACTTCCACCATGCTACGGCACACAGAACCACCTCTTCAATATGGAAAGACAATGATTTCCCACATCAGAAAGCACACCAAACAGTGCCAAAACACAAGCCAGGTAAGTTTGAAACAACCTCACCAGCAATGAAAACCACTCATCACCATACACACCCCTTTGTGCAAAAAAGCAAAAACAATAACCACCCTCAACAACAATTGCTCACTGGTTGCCAGACCAACGTGTCACCTGCAACCACTAGCCAACTGCAAGATTGTTCAAACAGTAGCCTCAGGGGTGGCAGCACTAAGAATGTGAAATGTCTGGATGCTGTTATGTCCTTTTTTTTCCCCTCTCCTTTTAAATAGTCTTAATTTCAAGCTAAGCTGAAAGGAAAGGAGAAGATATAGGAGAAAGATGGCAGAAGGATAAACTCTACACATTGTGGAAGATACGAGTACAACCAAGGTTGTCAATCTCGAGAGTTTACGTAATCTCGTGAAGGCTCCGTAAACTCGTATCGTAAACTCGTAAGAGATTACTCAATAAACAAAATTATAAAAATAATTAAAAATATATAATAATTAAACATTTTAACTTTATATTAAAGAGTAAAATAACAAATTATATTAATAATAAAATAATTTATTAAATATAGCAAAATGGAAGTTACCGAGGAATGATCCAAGCTGTACATGACAATTTTGTCATCCGCAGCTCCTGAGATACCCCCTTTGCAAGATCCGTCAATACAGATGCTAAGAACTACAAAAGTGATCAGTTATTAACTAAATTTTATTAAAAAAACATAAAAAAGAAATCTAAGGATGCTAAATTCCGTACCTGGCTCAGAATGGAATTTTACAGAAGTTACTGGAACTCCAGGATTTCGTACATCCCACCAAAGCATGGAACCATCCTCATATCTAGATTGGAATATAGAATGAGACGGAAGTCAATACCTTAATCTTAGAATCCTATTTATATTACTAAATACTAATTAGGTAAAGTACCCTTACTACAAGTACAAGCTCAAGATCACTAAATTAAACAAATAAAGGAAAAAAATTAAGATATTAATATTCCGTAACACTCCCTCAAGCTGAAGCTTTATTACAAGTATCAAACCTGCAAACAGAACAAGAATAACACTAGCCCATCTGTCCAATCAACTTAGGCAACTAGTGCTCTCCCTGAATCACAAAAGCTTAAATTTAGTACAGAACTCAGCAATCTTCACAAGAAAATTGAGACAAATCCAAACAGCCAGAAAGAAGAGAAGGCACGCCATTTTAATAGTGAGCTATCACCAAGAGAAGAGAAACTCAGCATTCCATACACAGGACAAAGAAGAAGATGAAGAAAGGCAATGCTGAACCACCTAATATTGAAGAGGAGAAACTAGGAATAGGATGACACCGGCTCTGAAACCTGTCACACCCTAGTTCACATTTTCTATCTGGCTGAAACCACAAGAAACTACGACAGCTGCTGTTGGACCTGCAACTACGTTGGTGATAGAACCCACAAAAGAAGAATAATGGGAAATAAAGCCAACTTTAGCTAGTAATGGGCAAAGTAGCTAGAGTTGTCAATAGTAATTAGTTACAAAATTGATTTATGAGCGAGCTTAAATAATAAAAAGAAAAAAATGGGGAATAGAAGCGGAGGCATTCAGAATCGTAGTAATGGCAAACAGAAACAGAGCAGTCTCAGTTTGAGAAAGGGGCAACCCTTTGTGAAGGGAAAACCCTTGGAAAAAGGAAGGAGATTTCTGTTGAGATTTCAGTCTCCAATAGCATATTCGTTCTTGTTTATTCTATCTTCAAATCTAGTTTGTCATTTTGTAATACTTGGTCACACCTTTCTAGTTGACTATAAGTCTATAACACTCTAGTTGCTAGAAACACCGTCTACAGCACTCTTGGCTTTACATGGGAGAAAAGGCGGAAGAATGACATGCAACACTCCTGCCGCAGACACTATCCAGGGCACACTTGACCATGCATATAGAGAGGAGAAGAAATTGCTTGAACACCAGATTTGATAGCCACAGCTAGAAGATAGTCATAGAACACACCAAAGAGCAACACACCAAAGCCCCAATCTCCCTGAAACACCAAAAAACCCTATCATGCTATAGCATTAACAGAAAACAATACTTCAATCACAAATCTTGATCCTACTAACAACCTAGAAACTTTAACAAGCCTCACCAAATTTTCAGCCTGGTAGTAACTTTAAGCTCTCACAATTTTTTTTATCACCTACAACAGTAACCTCCTAACAGAATGCACTGCCATAATCCAGTTGTTCTAGCCACACATGAAACATCTGAGACCAGAGAATCCCCAAACAACACCATACCCTCCAAAGCCTACAAACATAAAATCAAGGTTTTTATCATCTTCACAAGCAATAGCCACCACACAATCACCAAAAGGGTCCATATATATCACATCAAGTACCAAATCACCATCCTCATCCCACCATACACTTCCACCACAGGGGCACTGTATCACAGCAAATACTCATCTTCATTCACATGGTAACACCATGGCACATCAACACTATCAAACTTCCACCATGCTACGGCACACAGAACCACCTCTTCAATATGGAAAGACAATGATTTCCCACATCAGAAAGCACACCAAACAGTGCCAAAACACAAGCCAGGTAAGTTTGAAACAACCTCACCAGCAATGAAAACCACTCATCACCATACACACCCCTTTGTGCAAAAAAGCAAAAACAATAACCACCCTCAACAACAATTGCTCACTGGTTGCCAGACCAACGTGTCACCTGCAACCACTAGCCAACTGCAAGATTGTTCAAAACATCTCATTATATATATTTCTTGATACTGTTATAGTGTAAGAGTTTTTATGCCATTCTTTAATCAAGCATATCATATCATTTAAATAGTTCCACTATAACATACAATTCAAAATCTTGATAGATTTTTTATTTATTTATTTATTTTGTACAGCTAGTATTGAATGTAATTTATATTTTTTGAAGACCATACATATCTTTATTTTTATCCAATATAAAATAGTACTAAGATTAATTAACAGGAGATTTTTCATTGAAATATTTATTTTCCAATATTAAAATAAATAATATAATATTAGTATATTTATTATTTACAATATTTTTAACCTATACATATAAATTTTATAATATTGAAATAAGTAATATAACATCTGTGATGTATTAAAAAATAAAAATAAAATAAATGAAAAAAATGTGATTAAATATTTATATTTAGAATATAAAAATATTATATATTTTTATTAAATATTTTTATTTTTATAATATAGATTTATTATTTATTAATCAAATTTAATGTTAAATAATAATATTAAAAGTAACGAACTCATTTAATTCAATGATGGTATATAATATAATGTTTATATATATTGTCATTTGAAAAGGTTAATGGCTTGGTAGTTTTTATAATAAATTTGGTGGTAAGAGTCATAAATAACTTAGTGGCTTAATATGACATTTGATGAGCTTTTAAGTTTCTTTATATAAGATTGTTTGACCAAAGCAAACTTATTTGATATGAGAGTATATTTTAAGAGTTATAATTTATTATTAATTTTTAAGTTGATTAAAGTAACTTATAATTATTATAACATCTTATTTTATATTATTTTACATTAATAAACTAATTTTTCAACTCTATACTTTGTAATTAATTTATAAACTTTTAGTCAATTTACAAACTTTTAACTACTTTATAAGTTAGTTTTACAAAAAAAAAAAATACAAATTTTATTTCTCTAATAAAAGCATGATTGGCAGGATATTTAGAGAATATATATGAATTATTTTTATTAACTTAAAAGTTAATTTGATCAAAATAAAATTGTTTGATAGAAAAATTTACTTAAAAATTTATAATTTATTTTAAAAAACTAATTTAATTAGTGTATAGTTTATAACCTTTTTTGTTTCATTTTTTATTCCAATTAATTTACTTAAAAAGAAACAATTTTTTTTTTACTATATCAATCTCATACTCTCAATATCAAATAAATAAATATATCAATTGTATGGGTTAAAAACTTTTAGTTTTTGAGCTTCAACTTATAATTTACAACCTTTCACCTAGCTTATAAACTAGATTTACAACACACCCGAGCCATTTTTATTTATAATAATTTTTATAATCTCATATTTTCTATAAAAAACACACTTCTGATTTTGGTTTCATTTTTCCAATAAAATTATTATTACTATTTTTCATCTTATTTTTTTATGCGCGCGAGCGTTAGGACGAAAAGGAAGCATTGTTAACCGCGGATTGGAAGTAGCGGCAAGATTTTATTTGGTGCGATGATTGTAAACGAACGAACTCTTTTTCTATAGAACAAGAGCATTTGCCTCACAGGTGTTCGTTCTTTCATTCATTCATTCCGTGTTTGTGCGTTTTGGAAATCCAGATGGTGAATGAAGGTTGTTCTATTCCCACGATGGATCTTCTACGGTCGGAGCCCATGCAACTGGTTCAATTGATCATTCCAATCGAAGCAGCTCATCGATCCATTTCTTACCTCGGCGATCTCGGTCTCTTCCAATTCAAAGATGTGTGACTCCTTTTAAATTCTCATCGCTCTCGTTTTATATTCTTTCATTCTCAAAGCCGCATTAATTGCCGTGACTCTTACCATGCTCTGTTTCACTTTTTTCAATGCTGTTTTTGATGCTTCATCTCCCTCACTCGCTGAATGTTATTTGTTTCTTACATTGATAAATCTCTGTTTAAATCTATTCGATTCTTCAGCTCAATGCAGATAAAAGCCCATTCCAGCGGACTTATGCTGCTCAGGTGCCTATCAAATCTCTATCCGCGCTTGCGTTTAAATTATGTCATATAAAAAAGAAAGTCCTATTAGCCTATGAATTGTGTGTGTTCTCGAAGAGATTGGAACTCTCTAGTGCCATGACATACGGATAAACTGCGTAATAACTTGGTGTTCTTGCTTTTTATATGCATCGCCTTATTGAGGTTTTTTATTTTTCAGTTTACTATATGAGCAGTTTTTCTGTTGAAAACACAAATGGAATTCTAGATTTGTTTTTGTTTTGATCTCAACGTGTTTTAGATGTCTAATGATCTGTTGTGAGCCAGCCTCGGATGAAAAATTGTTTTAGTTTATTGATATCTTAGGCACACGAGAGAACTCCTTCATGTAAATATAGCTTGTTGAACTAATTGGACACGTGCTCAATTTAATTTTAACTACAGATTTTAGGTTAGAGCCGAAAGGGAGTTATAATGAGACCATTCTCTCTCTCTTGCTGTCTCTCTTTTTGTGCTAGAGGTATTGTTCAGGCTCAGTGGCAGACACTTAGACAGTATCTTTCCTTTTAGGAAACTTTCAGCTTTAGAATTAATTTTGGCTTTTCATGCAACATGGAAATTGCCAATGTTGCTAAAATATCCCATCTTTTGGTACTCCTTGTATTTTTAACAGTTCAAAAAATTCATAACAGCATTTACTAATACTAGTATGTCACATTCTATAGAATTGATTTACTGAATGGAAAATTTATCATTTTATCATCTAGATCAAAAGATGCGGGGAAATGGCACGTAGGCTACGGCTGTTTAAGGAACAAATGATGAAAGCAGGGGTATCACCCTCGCCGCGGTTAACAAGAGACCGTGACGATGATCTGGAAAGTTTGGAGGTTGTTACATGCTCTGAAATTTTTGTTACCTATTCTTCTGTTCAAGAACGCAGGATCATGTGATGAAACTTTTCCTCATGACTAGGTTAAACTTCAAGAACTTGAAGCTGAGCTACTTGAGATTAACGCAAATAATGAGAAGTTGCAACACACTTACAATGAGCTGTTAGAGTATAAGCTTGTTGTAGAGAAGGTATGTTTTGCTAACTTCTACAATGCCACAAAAGCCATAATTACTCTGATTAAAAAATGCCATAATAATTTCTGATAAACAGGCTAACTTTGCTGATCATCTTGCTTGTGTTTAAATAGAAGTGTATAAACATTTAATTTTTGGTATATTATTATGATTTATTTCTGTCTCGCTGCATACATTTTGTCAGTACAGAAAAACTTATTCTTAGGCTTGTGAATTGTGACATATATATTTGGTCTTTTCTTTTCTTTCCTTGGTTGGATACAAAACTGCAAAGTGGTAATCCCTTATTTGCTTTATCGTGTCAGGTTGGTGAGTTTTTCTCTTCAGCAAGAAGTAATGCTGTAGCTCACCAGAGGGACCTTGAAGTCTATGCAGGTGCTGAAGGGTCTCTTGACAGCCCATTATTATTGGAACAAGTATAAGTTGCAGTTTTGTAGTTTTTGTTTGTTTCTTTACAGTTTTGTTTTATTTCTCCTGTCGATGATGCTTATTAAATTTATGTTCAGGAGGAGACAACAACAAAGCAAGTTAAGCTGGGGTTTATATGTGGACTTGTTCCTAGGGAAAAATCAATTCCTTTTGAAAGAATTATATTTCGTGCTACTAGGGGAAATGTGTTTCTCAAACAGACTGTGGTTGAACATCCTGTTCTTGATCCTTTGTCAGGAGAGAAGGTTATTTTAAATTTTTAAAGTTAAATCTTTAACCTCTTGCAGAAATTTAGATATGTAACATGAGCACTAGATCATCGCAGTTCCTCCTTTTTTTTTAAAAAAAGCTGCGAACTTAAAGAGATGAAAGAAGATGCTGTTTTGACTTATTTTTATATATAATTATCTTTTCTGATTCTGGAAATTTACTCTTCTGTTGCCACCGGTCATTTCTACTATCTTAGTGTTTTATAGTCTCCCTTTTTACAGGTTCATAAAAATGTATTTGTTGTCTTTTATTCTGGAGAGAGAGTTAAAAGTAAAATTCTGAAAATATGTGATGCTTTTGGAGCAAATCGTTATCCTTTCTCAGATGACTTGAGTAAACAATTTCAGACGATAACAGAGCTATACGTAATTTTTTCTTAATGTTTGTGCATAGCTTTCAATTGTCGTTAAGTGTTAAACTAAATGCTTCAGATGCTGTATCTTTAAATTTTTTTTGTCAAATATTAATAAGATCAACTACATATTTATTATGTAGTTTGGGTATTTCAATGTTTTACATCTTTAATCTTCTCTCTAACTTTTCGTACAGCTATTGTTCAGTTATGTTTTTCTGATAACATGTGTTGTTTTTCTTCAATAGCCTTTATTAAACTGTAAATTTCAGTGATCTCGATCAACCTTCTTGTTGTTGTTTAGTTGTTAATTGTTTTTGCTTTTATTTTTCTTATCAAGTTCAATAGTGTTTATGCTATGACTAAAGTGAACCATTTTATGAAAGTGCTGTTGCACGTTTGGATGGGATCATTTAAACAACAAACCATTAATTTAGTCGTTTAATTATTTTTTCAAACTCCAAAATAGTTTTTTATTTTTATTTTTTTCACGGGGAATCATAATAGTGTTGCATACTATTCCAACTAAATTCAAATAATTGATCCAATATTATTGTGACTACTTGTTTCCTATAACTAATTAAACTAATTTTGGAGTTGTATAATTAATCAAAAATGCAGGAACTACACACAAATGATTCTTATTATGTGCAAAAATAGGTAGGCATGTGCATACTAACCCAACTACACACAAATCACAACTGCTTGTTTCCAAATGTTTGATTAATTGTTTGATCCGAAATAGTTTTTGTTTTTTTTTTTTTATCGGGAATCTCCAAAATAGTGATTCGAAGCGAAAACGTTTCTACATTATGTGGTGAAGGGAAAAACATGTCCAAAGGCCAGAATACTATGATAAAGCTGACCA